AGAGCAATCTGGTGACGAGGGAGAGCTTCGCTCGCGGATCCTTTATTTCACGCAACTTCGCTCGTGAATTTTTTTCCCGCCTTTATGATCGTTCGAGTTCCCTGGGAGCCTGTTCGCAGGCTAGGCTATTATATATTCGCCTGATAACGTGATTTTTATTTAAGATAATCTCATGCAACTGAAATTGATTTGCGTTTTAAAAGAATTGGTTTTGGTTTTGAGAGTTTATTGGGGTTTTGAAATTAATTTGTGTTTTGGTAAATTGATTTGTGTTTTTGGAAGCTGATTGGTTTCAGTTTTGGTTATTTTTTTTGTTGTTTGTATAGGTAATCATACGGTAACAAGTCCAATTTGGAATTAATTTGCACGAGTGAGTTTTTCAGCTTTTTGAAAAACTCACAAGTGCTAATTTATTCCAAATTGAACGAGAAAAACCGTATGATTACCTATACAAACGAAAAAAAATAATATGAACATGAAAAAATTCTCGTGGAGGAAATACCGGAAGATTTTTCTTGTACGTAGACTGTTCACAGTCCCCTATTTTTCCGTGAGATCGTAGATGTCGATCCTTGAGTTCGATGGGCCGCCATCTTGGTCTCTTGATGCGAGCGAAACTGGGGAGAGTACAAAATGCGCGTGGGTAGTGGCGGTTTTTTTCTTTACCTTAAGAAAATTTCGACTGACTGTATTTTGTTAGTTTCTACGATATTGTTCCTGTTAGTATTCCATTATTCCTATGTTAACGGAATCTCCCGGGCTTTCGCTCTGGTTTTTAACACAGTCTCATTGTTGCAGGCGACATTATCAATGTCCCAGCTTGGACAGGAAATGTCAGTTGTCTGTGATTAATAATACTTATACGTTTTCTTGTGTGTGTAGATGGAGCGCTTCGGTCTTCTAGTCGTCACACTGCTATGCATTTACGTGACCTTCTCCTATGCGGAGGAAACCAAAGAGACGACAATCTCAGAACCGCACCTAGAGTCACAACCAAATGATGTATGTATATTATTGATTCACTATTGAATCAAAATCACTTCACATCTTATTTTTAATAAGAAAAAACCCTCACTAGCCGAGGTCTAGGGCCGCACTGCAAGTTACGGACCGATTTTTTTTTACCAGCGATTTATGACCCAAGCGCGAAGCGCGCAGGCCATAAATTGGTAAAAACGAGGATCCGTAACTTTTAAAACAGACCGAGAAGACGAGATTTGTAACATACTGGTATATCTCTACTCTGTGTCTGCCGGGTTCGGAAACGATTTCCTTTCACGCAGGACGGTTTCAAATTTCTGACGCTCGTCAAAAGCAAAACAAATCGATCAGAATTAATTGATAAGTGACTCTTAAGTTGTTTAAGTTTTAATACACAATTTGTGTAGGTAATCATACGGTTTCGAGTTCAATTTGGAATTAATATGCACGAGGGAGTTTTTCAAAAAGCTGAAATTGAGGTAACAGAAAATTTTTAACTTTAACTTCTTATAAAACTTGAGAACACCTGGCGATAAATGACGAAAAGTTTTGGCAACAAAAACAGCTTAAAATTTTAGCGGGATATACAGTAGATTACGGCTCGTTAAATTGACCTATCTCAGCGCGGGCACTAACTGAGAGATATGATAAATTAAATGATTTTATTATATAAACACCAATGAAATGCCAGGTGAGGTTTCGGACGAAAACATAATATCTTCATTCGTGAAAATTAAAATAACGTGTTATTTTTACGAGAGAAAAGATCACGTTGCTATGGTAACATAATAAATCGCGCCCTTCGCGCCGAAAGTTGAATGGTTCCTTATTTCATTGGTGTTTATATAACTAGTTCTCACTAAAGCTGCCCCCGCAGTTTCTCTTCTCGTGTTGAAAAATATTTGACGCGTTCGCTGCGTTCACTCGTGAAATATATTTTAACACTCAAAGAGAAATTTCCTATTTCCGCGCGACCATGTAATATATCCTCGCTATATTTCTGGATTACTTCTGTTTTATTTAGTTTCTCGTATTAAACCTCTCGCAATTTGACGGCTCGTATTTAAGGAGGGGGGTGACTAGGTCTTCGGATCGACGGATTTGGCCTTAGAAAGCGCACGGATTGTGGATTTTTGCGGTAAATCGAGCGCATTCGCGGATTTTAAAAACACAGTGGATCGTGGATCAGCTGTGAATATTGGTGCGGATTCCGGATTGTGCCTGTCTTGATGTTCGGATCTTGGGTCCTAAACGAAATTTGGATCATAGATCTTCCTTCAGCCTTGGTCGGTATGTTAATGAGTTCATCCAAATTATTTCTTTTTTCGAACAAAGCTCATTTAAAGTCACGTGTGAGACTGTTATTGGAATTGTACTGTGTTATTGACTGTTAAAGTCATCAAGCATGTTGCCTTCTTAATTATTTGTGCGAAATTAACAATGGCATTCACATTTACCAGTTTACCTTTGAACTTTTACACTTCTGTTTCCGGATGTGGTTTTTGGTGTCGGATTTGAACAAAAATATTGGCGGATCGACGGATTTGGGGAAAAAAGGCACGGATCGGCAGATTTGCATACCCTATTCACCCCCCTCTTTAAGGCTCCGTCTATTAACGCTTCAAAGTGCACACAAATACACCAGTTACGCAGACTCGCTGTTCCATTTTACATTTATTTTGCAGACAAGTTGCTTAAAATAGGTCGCTGGAGAATTTGTGGAGGAAAAATTGGCGCGTGAATAGTGAATTGCTCAACGACAGAGCATGTTACAGGATTTTGGGATTTTTGAAGTGTAATATCCATTGAAATAAGATCTGTGTTGAATTGAGCTATAAAAGGCATCCATAACTTTAGTTGCAGGTGCGATGCCCAGATGGCACCATATGCCCAGCAGGTGATGGGTGTTGCCCATACACTTTAGAGCATGGACGATATGGTTGTTGTAGCTATGGCCCTGGTGCTACTTGCTGCCCCGATTATATAACGTGTTGCCCTAGGGGATTTGTTTGCGACATTGTAAGACGCAGATGCTACCGGTCAAGTCGGCTAGCTAATAATACAGACGAACTTGGCCGTGATGGTACAGCTGGTATACACCCAAAGGCTAGCAGTATTATACCTTCACAACAGCTAGAAACGTCATTGAAGAGAATTGGTTTCCTCCACACCTCCGGCGACGTTTTATCTCCTGATGAGAAATATCAGTGTCCGGATGGAACAAACCCTTGTGAGCTTTTTTATGGAATATATGGCTGCTGTCTCATTCAAAATAAACGAAGGATAAAGATAATGGAGACCAGAGGGTATGTAAAGTTTTGGCGAGAGCACTCGTGTTTCTTGGCTTTGGAAAACTGTATTTTTCTTACCGGTGACTGAATCAATTATTTTTACTTATTTTCTCAAAAACAACTTAAATACCCAAATTGATAGTTGTAATGATGCATGTATTAATTCGATTTTCTGTTTGTTGTTTCTGTTTACAAGCTTAATCATTTTAGTGCCTTTCTTTCAGAGATATGTTTAGCATATCTATTCATTCATTTATTTTGTTGTTGTTGTTGTTCAACGTTTTATTGCTAAAAGTATACGAAGCAAAAAGGAAATAATTTTTGAGAATAAATCTTTTTTTTTAGCTAGGTTTGATATTGGAAGGATCCCTGTCACCTTTTCGTCTCTGTTGTTGTTGTTGTTTGTTATTGCTGCTGTTGCTTTTGTTTGTTTCATGTCCAGTCTTCTCATCTTTTGCAGACGCCGACCCTGAGGCAGAGGACAGAGGACCGTAATACGGCTTAAAATTATAAACAAATAGCCAAAACAAAAATTTAAATGGGAATAGTTCTGGANGTTTCTTATGCAGAGCACGACACATGCGACATGCGGACGTAGTTCGCGCATTCACGATAGGAAATCGAGCTGTTGCGAGCAGAGGTTCCCTCTCGTCTCTCACTGAGCAGAAACATAAGGCATCTCTGCCTCGCAGGGTATTTTGTGAGTAAAACGATAGTAACTGATAGCACAGGATTTTATGAGGTTCAACAATTAAGAGAAGATGAATATCTTCTAATTGATTTAAGATAACTATAGTACAGTGAAACCCCGTTAATACGACCATGGGCCATGGAAAATTGGTCGCATTAATGGGGTGGTCGTATTAACGAGGTAGGGTCGCATTATGATGCAGCACGCTTTAAACATGTACTGTACATGAATATCATTAATTCCGCTATATATCAACCATTTTACAATTATTCTTCAACCTTACAACAGCAATTCATTGTAACTGAACAAAACCGAGTACATGTAATGCGAGAAAACAATGACGTCTTAAAGTTCCTCAACAGGATATGGCCTCTTGTGAAATGTCTGTTAGAGCCGTTATTTGTCAGATTGTATTTGTCCTCATTCAGGAGGGGGGGTGAATAGGTTTACGGATCGACGGATTTGGCCTTAAAAAGCGCTTGGATTGTGGAATTTTGCGGCAAGTCGAGCGGATTCGCGGATTTTGAAAAACAGTGAATCGTGGATCAGTAGTGAATTTTGGGGCGAATTTCGGATTCTGCCGGTCTTGTTGTTCGGATCTTGGGTCCAAAACGAAATTTGGATCATAGATCTTTCTTCAGCCTTGGTCGGTATGTTAATGAGTTCATCCAAATCATTTCTTTTTTCCAACGAAGCTCATTGATACTGTTACTGGAATTGTACTGTGTTATAGTCATCAAGCATGTTGCCTTCTTTTAGGCTATTCAGTTGTGCAAAATTAACAATGGCATTCACATTTACCAGTTTGCCTTTGCACTTTTACACTTCTGTTTTCGGATGTGGTCCTGGTTTCGGATTTGAACAAAAATATCGGCGGATCGGTGAATTTGCATACCCCTATTCACCCCCTCATTCAGCTTCCTCACCAGTCAATTTAACCGGTCGTATTAATGGGGTAATTTTATAAAGAAAAATAAAGACTGAGCACTCCACAAGGTGGTCGTTGGTCGTAATAACGGGGTGGTCGGATTAACGGAGATTTCAGATAGGAGAATGTGTGGGCTTTTGCCCGGGTCACTACAAGGGATGGTGCCAACGGGTGGTCGTATGGCGGGGTTCCACTGTACCTCCTTTCAAATGAAAGATCTCCAATTGTGGTAAATACTTTGTACGATAGTAGGAGCTGGTTGCGATTTTGAAATAATTGATTTTGAAGGACTGCTCAAGGCATGCTGGATCAATATCAAAGAAACTAGGATATTTCTTAAAAGCGCTTGTAGATTTTTTTTCAAAGCCGAATAGCTATTACCCTCCCAGCAGACGCTCTTAGGGCTCGTCACGCCAAAAGATCAATGCACATGCTACAATGCTGTTATTATGTCATTGCGTCAGGATGTTCACACCGCAAACATGACAACATAACGTTCTTCGAATGTCGTTATGTCGCGACATAGGGGGAACGTTATGTCGTTAAGTTAGCGGTATGAGCATCTTGATATAGCGACATAATAGCAACGTAACGACATAAGAAAAATCATCAACGTAACAATGTAACAAAGAACCAATCAGAGCGGCGCAAGCATTGTTGAACCAAGCCTACCAGTCAAGTCTGATCAGGAATGTTAATTTCGATCACCTGAAAGAGTATTGATGTCGTGATGTCTTTATGTCGTGATATCGTTATGTCGTGATGTCTTTATGTCGTGATGTCATTATGTCGTGATGTCATTATGTCGTCATTATGTCGTGATGTCATCATGTCGTTATGTCGTTATATGTCGTGATGTCGTGTGACATTCAGTAAAACCAGACACCAGGAACAAAGACGCTTTTCCCGCCACAAAAACTTTTAATGTCACGCTAACCCTCCACGATGTGATCACGTGCTGTCATTTTCCACAAGCACGTGAACGTAATTACTGATCCCCGGGTACTGGATACGCCAGAAATAGTAAGCGGAATGCATTTTACGAATGCGTTTTTTCGGGTTCGAGATATCCCGCTGGGCAACATTCAGATGTACCCATTACAACGTGTCGACCAGATAAAACCTTTTAAAATCAACAACTCCAGCTACTTAATTGAGAACATGTCTTGTTTCGCCATAACATATCTCTACCATGTTACCCTTTCTTGCCTAAGTTAGTCGTAGACTAGACGTACTTAACCTTCACTTGTTCAGAGCAGGCGGCTTCTGTGATATTATTGCATAATCTAATACTCGACAAAATCGTTAACAGGCACGTGAGGACTGTTACCATGCCTACAAAGTAACATCACGTGTGCCTTCACGTTGTCCTATGAAAACGTGGAATGTAGACATTCGGAAACCGGGAACGTCACCATTACAAATGTGATAATTGCTCGTGAATGCAAATTACCAACCACGTTGTCTAGGTGAAAAATCTGCCCTACAATTTTAATTAGAAAGAGACAGACGTCTTTGGGTCATGTACAATGCATTTTGCCTCATTATTAAAAAAAATAAAAAATAAAACAGGACAGGTGCGACCTACCTGTTTCCTGTGGGGCAATTTTTCTGAACATTACTTAAAACCTAGATATTTGCATTGGGTAAGATTGATTTTGCGGTTTAGCAAATTTGCAATATAATCATTGTGATCTGAAGAGACCGTCTTTCTTACCTAATGGGAATAAACTTTTATGACTTTCAGCCAGCTGTGCACAGCTAAATCGCAATAGAGTATTATCGCTGTTGAATGACGTTGTAATAAAGAAAGTAATCACTGCAATTGAAAACACATTATTTAGGTTTATCTGCATATTGTTCTGATGTAGTTGATTGCTGTAATGATCACCAGAAACCAGCTGTCTATACCATTTGATGAATATTTAGCAGATAAATATCTACCTAGCCATGTCTGTCCTCAATACCAGAGTTTCTTGATTACCGTTGTCTACCTTCGGTACCGGTATTCTTTCTCTTCAAACTGCAGAAACGTTTCGTGGGATATGCACTTATTTTTACTGTTTATTTTATTTATTTTGAAAGATAACGAGAAACTGAAAATATTGCGTAATGAAAACCTGCAAACTCCTATGGAACATGGAAAGACCTCTAAGCATCGGGCTACCATTGTATTGTTACATAATCGGACCGGCGAGAACGGTTGTTAGCCGCACGTGAGGACAAGACTATAATGTCTGACCCTGGAGTCTGACATTTACAGTCTGAACCATGACTGCAGGGCTGCAGCCAAGTGTTTTCACGTGCGAATTCACCATTTTCTCTTGCAACGTAGTGGCTGAATATCATGTTCATTAAAGAGAGGTCTTTGTGGTTTCAATTTGAAGACTTTAAAGTCATTAACTTAATTCATGCTTAACAAAGAAATGTTTCAAATGGCTGTAAACGGTCGTTCCGTTTCGCGTTGTTTAATGTTATATAACTTAAAACCAGCCGTACATTAACGTGACATACAAGACATGCACACAGCACGTGAAGCGAAATCGAGAAGCGATTGGATAACTTAAAATATGGAGTAATTTTAAGTGGCAGATGTACAGAATATCAGTTTAATTGAGTTTACTTAAACCACCTGGATAAGAATACAATCACGGCATCACGCCAAATTGCAAAGGTTTGCACCTCGAGAAAGGCAGCTTTCTACACCTTCCTAGCCCGTCATTTAGTACTTAAAGTTGTTCTTAAGTCTTAAGGTAAGTTCAACTATATTCTGGAAACTTGATTGGAATGTTTGCTCTATTTATTCAAGATCGAGTTAATTATTTTGTATTTCCTTCGTTGGGCATTCTGGACTGTTTGTATTTCTTTATCCTCTCAAAATTGTTTAAAACAACCTTAAGCAACCACAGGCAGCCCAAGTCAGCGATGATAACATTACGTGATGATCGTGCTCTAAAACCAGCTTTCCTCACGTTGCTTCTACCTCATCTTCATTGCTTTTTGTTCACTTACTACTTTGTTAAGAGCTGTCCATGATTTCTACCTCCTAAAATCGATCGTACTGTTATCCGCGAACTCTAAGCTAGTTTCACTGCTCCGCTACCACGCGATGAATCATCTCACAGCTAGAGTTTTGGCCGCCATGTGGCAAACGGTGGCAGTCTGCGGTGACTGCAGCCTGAAGACGCCGTTATATTTCGTGGGACATCATTCAGATCCCATTCAGCTCTGTATAAAATGCGCGCGGCTTAAATTAAAGCAGATCTTTGTCTTAATTGGTTAAACAAATATGCTTTTCTACCAACAAACCGTCATAAAACTGGCTTCATGGCATGCACTCCAAATAAAAACTGTATTTGTAGGGCAATGCTTTGTTGTCTCACTTTAATTGAATTGTGTAAACCTATGTGTAATAAAATTGCCGACCGGTGAGTGAACAAAGGGCCAATACAAGAGTTTGTTTGCTATGCAGGAGTTGTTTGACTCTCATTGCTAATTAGGCCGCCAGTTGGAAATCACGCGAGCACGATCGCAGATTTAATATCAAAGAATGTTTCTTACATTCAAACGTGAAGAACCTAAATTCCCGTATAGCCCTTGAAAACGACAGGAAGTTGACAAGAAGCAGTGCGGCCTTGGTTTGATGCATTTAATTTAATAGGCTTAAGTTAAGGTGAAGGTATGCAAACCGGAACAGAATTAGATGACAGGTCATTTATTTAGTTGGGGTAATTTACAGGGGTAGTAATCGATACTAGGTACATTCCCAAATGTTCTTGCCGTGTTGATTTTTGGCGGCCTTTGACAGCAAATTCTATTTTACCTCTTCTGACATCAGGTGACGTACCTTGTCGCTCACAGAACAATATGAAGGAAATACTAATGATGAAGAAGACACACAATAGCCTGCTTCCACTACGTGGAAAAATATCGCCTCCCACGATTTTGAATTGCCTAAACCATTCTACGGAGCAGAAAAATTACAAAAGCCATGAGACCACAAAACCTGTGGGTGGAAGAGAGCGTTTATTTTCCGCGTCCACGATGAGCGCTTCTAGCTCTAAACATGGTTCAACCTTCTCTGAAAGAGACTTCACTCCACCGTTTACTCCACCGGCAAACGGTGATCGCGCGTTCCTATTTAGAAGGCCTTCCGAACATTTTCTTGAAGTCCTAGAAGAACATAAACAAAGACCAACTGTACCTAAAGTACGATCTTCCTCTTGTTTGCCTCCATTGGGGAAAACGACTCAAGGAGAAGATTCGCAGAAAAAGAATTTAGGAGGAACTAAAATTGCCTTCAGTGGTTACCTAAACGGAGAGGATGTCGTCTCTCGCCAAGTTGAATCTAATGGTGGGCGACTGCTGGCTTCTGAGCAAAGGAGCGATCCGACGGCAACAAACCTCGCTAACAAGAAGATTCTGCGAAAAAGTCACTCTCTACCTTTAATCAAGCCATACACTGCTTTTACCGCAGGAATAGACTGTGTTAACGTTTCCGTCTCTGGAAGTCACACACCAACCGATATCTTGAACGATGAACAAAAACTTAACACCTGTGACCGTATGGACAATGCGCCTATCGAGGAATATTTAGAAGAACTGTGCGATGAAGGCGACCCACTTGAAGACGATGAGGAGGAAACGTTAGAGAAGTTTAGTATGATATGTCACTGGCTAAAAGAATGCGAAAAAGCCAAGGTCGTGTAGCAGCAGGATTTCAGTAAGCCATTTAGGAAATGCATCTGTAAACATCGACTTTTATGGACCTTGCCCCGGACTTTGCATGCGCGGGTATATGTATTGAAAGATATCAGCGCTTGATTTGTCTTTTCATATAATTTTACCATACCTAAGGAGCCGGCGTCCCTGGGATAAATGGGCGCTATCATGAGTCATGATAGCAACATGAGGGTCCCCATGCAAACGGAAATTCCTTGTGGGCATTACTAAAAGGAATAATTTCATGTAAAATGTTAATTTTATGTTTCCTTTAGCTTAAAGAGTAGTATCGCTTACGCGGTTTTGTTTGCAAAATTTTCAGAGTGATTGGTGATATATAATTGGTGTGTTATGTAAAAATGTTAAGCTTTCTGCGTTACATTTTTGGGTCTCTGTAAGAAATAACTGAAGTAGGTGGCTAACGTAAGCAAAAGCTTTTACATATTTTGAAAACAGTTTGACCGGAGTACTGCTGGTTCTCCTTTCCTACCCGGTTAAACGGGAGAGCTCCTTCAGGATTAAACGCCAGCTTAAGTTAATCGTCTTATATGGCATCATATGAAATTTAAACACACCATCAAGGAAAAACTAACATCGAGCCGGATAATTTAATCAAAGTTTTTCTATATTAATTCATTGGGAAGTCTTTCAAAGTGTGTTTTAAGTTTGACCCGGGGTGTCTTTAACATACCACTAAATCCGGTACTAGTCACGAAATCCCGGCCGGTACGGGGTTTAAATTCAAGAAAAGTTCATTGGAAGATTTTTTGTGAGATGTATATTGCTAGTTAATGTAGTGTTAAATTGATATAATTTTGCTACAAATTTTAAAATCGTTTTATTTCTCTATCACAATAGCTTTTGCTTTTTTTTATTGTAGTACTATCCTAATTTATATTCCGTGTTATTATACTATAATTAGACAAGGAAAATAAGGCGACCTGCAGGCTAGTGTGAAGGCGGCCGACCAAGATTGTTATTTACGTCCTGTCCACTAGTATAGTGGCTGTATTTGTCTAAGACATAGCTGGATTTCTGCTTATTTTACGATACTGGGTGGTCTTTTTGGTATATCTACATTTTACAGTAGAGACGATAAGACTTTTTATCGCGACCGAGGGTGTGTCAAGGTCATTTATCTTCTGTGGACTTTGTACATAAATGAGTGGTGTGTGAAGATAATTTATTCATCTATTGTTCAGTACGCGAGAACGGGTTAATGAAATAAAACTCGATTTCATTCAAAGCCTTTACTTTGCTTATTCAGTGTTTGCTGGTGGTAAACTGAGCCTTCCTTGCTCAATTAGGAGTGCGTGGGTGACAGCAATAAAGAGGATCATCAGCTGGGGAATATTTCCTGATATACTGCCAGAAATAACTTTCAAAACGTTTCGTTAACCCTAAGGATAATTTATCTTCGAGCTTGGTGAAGGTTACGAAGCCAAGCAGAAGGGTAAACATAGCAGTCTGTGTGCAAAGATTAGGTAATGCACGCGCGCTGGGGGTCACATTTTTCATGGCTTGATCAAATTAAGATTGGCTTGATCAAATTAAGGTTCGAGGTCTTTCGCTGCCCCGTCCAGTACGTAACTCTCGATCTGTCTACATATCGTTAGTTCCGCGCTGTTTTGTGTTCTTGTCGGCTAAACTCTGTTCTTTTTCAGTCCTTCAGTAAGGAGCCGGTGCGATCGCTAGCAGGGAAACGTTTTGGGTGACCTCGGGTGGGTGACCGAAATATTGGCAACCATATAAGTTGCAATAGACATGCATTACATCTAGAACGACTAACAGCTTTAGGCTACAGTAAAATTGAAATTCCCTGTAAATCACCCTAGACTTAATCAGGAATAACTAACTCAGTGAACAAATGAAATGAAAAAGCATCTTTCACTAACTAGTGCACGTTAGATTTCAGCCATCGTATAAAGAAACTTTATCACTCGGAAACTGATAGAAGGTATTAGCATGGTACTTTAAGCGTTCAACACCAGCGTCAATTGTTTTGAGTGTTATAGGATTAAAACAAAGGTATTGTGTCTATTGTAGCCACTGAATGGAAAGAAAATGTCAGCAATCACGAAAGGAAGCAGGACGAAGAGCAACAGAACACTTCCATAAAACTGTCGGCAGGCTGTTTATCATTGGAAGACACAACAGTTCAAAGTTGTTTCGAATTCAGTACGATGGTGTGTTGTTAGCTACACTAGGAAACTGCTTTCAACAGTTACCGTCATACTTGTCTAAGTGATCTTGCCGGGCTTAAATAAAAGAATATATATTCTTGAAATCCTCTGCTTAAGTCCTCTCTCTCAGCATGAGAAGGAACATATTTTCAAGGGATGTTAACCGGTGAGAGAAACATGTACATGTTTTAAAACAGAAATCGTCATTGTAGTTTGAAATGACACACAAGAACGATCCCTTTGATTAATTAAAGAATTTAAAGCATTCAGATTCTCTTTACTCTCCAAACACTTGGAGAAGAATGCTGGCAGTTCAGTAGCACTTATGAAGTATGTACATACTGGATCAGAAGGTCTCAAGTTAAGGGCAACGCTTTAATCAGAGAATAACTGGGGGGAATGAAGCTTAAAGGCTTGGAGACTAAAGAAACAACAGATCGATAACATTTGATTCCCACTGCTTGTATAGGTGTACTTAAATGACTGTTTACAAACATTTTCTAAAATATTTGTACTTCTGAAAGTATTTCGTTAAAAAAGAATCATATTCGAGTATTCTTTTGTAAATCTGGGCGCTATGTGTCAGACGAGTACTGTGCCGACAGCCCCCAATCCGATTATTTCTTTTGAGGGCTCGGCTGACTGGTTGGAGAGAGTTGCCTTGAAAAGAACATTTGCAAGGACCTGTGTCCAAATCTTCAGACTCCTAAACAGAGCCACACACTGAAGGCTACAACAGTGGGATAGGGGGCTGGGGAAAGGGTAGCCGGTAACCATGGAAACACATTTAGTTATCGGGGTGAAAAGGGGTATAGAGAAACTACTTTTCAGCAATTGACTGTAGATTCAGGACACTTCAAGAAAGCAAGGTTAATAACTGAATAGCGATTAAAAGGATTCATAACCTTCGGGATTTTTGTTATTTAGTACACTTGGGAGAACGAAGAATGAATCAGTTGGAACATGAACTACCGGCGAGTTCTCCAAAATATTTTTGAGCAACTAAAGCTGTCAGTTTACATCTTTAGGTTTAGAGGAATCTCACCAATACTCACAAAATGCAATAATTGCATGTCACTGGTAGTAAACGAAAGCTCTTGGAAATACAGTTTCATTGGAAAAAATATACCGGCATACAATTTATACTACTAGAAATGTTTCTCTACGCTACTCTTTCCCTTATCCTTGTGCTCATAAAATAAGTATGCTTCAATGCACTTTGTAAGCCTCTAAGATCTTAGTGCCACGTGAGTCACAAAAAATGGCTTGGAATTTTGTCGGATTTCTTCGCTTGCTGCGCATACGTGTTCACAGACTTCGCACGGTGAAGAACGAGGAGGAAATCAGGGTTTCTTTTTTTTTTCTCAATTAGTCCTTTTCCTAAACAGACTAAATATCATGACGTTGTTTAGTCTTAGAAATACAATTCAGCAAACAGCAAACGTATGTGTATATACTATCTGAACATTAAAGTTGATCGATATAAGAATTTCCCTTCCTCTGGACCTAAGCTTTTCCTCAACAGTAGACCTGGATTACGAAGACGACCTTTTTAGTCTTGAAAAAATGTAAAACATGCGGCATAAGCCAATTTTGGAAACACAGATATTTATAATCCCGCCACAAGTGATAATCGACACGGAGGGTCAAAAAATAAAGCAGCTTCCATTTGGAAGTAAAAATATCCGACCGGAAGGAGATAGTGATTGACCCTTAACATTTCTGACCAGAGTCTCGTGCAAAGTAAACGGTGGAGATTTTAAGTTAACATTTCTAAAAGACTGTTGAAAGCTTGGCTACAAGCTGAATCCCATATGCTCGATAGAACCGCGGGAGGCAGATGACTTGCGCACCCGATAAATCTTTTTCATTTGGAGAGTCATTACAAAGTTAGTATTCTCGCTAAATTGAGGAAAGGGTGGAAAGAAGGGGGGACAACACGAAGTCCTCTAGGGACGGAAAGATGCGGTTATGTCTCCAAGACAGGGCTTTAGGGGGGCTTAAAATGCCGTTTATGTTAACTTTTGCGTAAAATAACTCAAAGATTAGACGCGAAGGACGCATTTGAACACTCCATTGGATTTAGTTTTGGCCCGTGGGCATGTTACTGTGTCTAGTTCTGGCCCACCTCTGCTGTTCCAGTCGCCGTCCTGGCGGGCAGGTCAGTGACGCTCAGTAACACTTTTCCCGAATACATAAAGTTTACATCTTGGCGCTCTAGTCTCACTCTATGCAGATTCCTAACCCAGAAAAAATTCAATTTCCCACTGAACGCTCAATTATCCACCCGTCATCCTTATACTATTGTTATACAATCATGAAGCGTGCAAAGTAGAAGGCGTTTTTTTATCATTATAATTTTTTATCATTATCTCTTATAACAAAGCAATTACTTTTGAAGTGGTAGAAATTTCTGGTCTGACTTTTCAATCTAATTCAAAAGGATTATCGAGCCTTCGTTTTCACCGCAAAGGGTTAGCCCCTAAAGACACCGCGTCAGAAAATGATAACAGAAAATCAGATCTGTCATCAATCAGAATAAGACATGTCAGATTACGCACTGACTTTCCTTGACCTTTTTTCTTCTCCTATAAATCTATAAACACCAAAACTTTACAGGGCTACTTCCACATGCACGAAACATGACTATGCCAACATTTTGATATTCACTTTGCCAAAACAGACGTTTATCCTCTGACTGGTTCGATACTGAATAGCACAAAACAAAAAAAGCCTTTTACCTATAAGTCTATGTAGTGTCACGAAAAGCAGTATCAACCACTAGTTTAACAAAGTCACGTGCACTGCAAAGAGCTCAAAGCCAGTTGTGGTGTAGCCCGGGTTATGTAATAAATGTTCTCTTTCCTTTGTCATTAATCACTGCCACACAGCGTTCCCGTCATGCCCAAGGAGCACAAATAAGGCTTTAACATCTCTGTTTCCAGGCGCTCCGTTCTTTCTACGATCCTTTTCTTCCTCCGTTGCTTCCTAGTGTACGTGCTATGGCACGTTCCTTACTTTTAAACAGCCATAGTAACCTCCCGTGGAAAAAAATCAACAGCCATTCACTGAACTGAAATAAAACATTGATGAGAAACCTCATTCCAGTGAAAAGAGGCATTTATACACTGCCTAGGTTCTGACTTGGCGTGGCTAGGTGATATACAAAACTATTTTCTTTGGAAGCCTTGTAATCTATTCGTGAGGGAATTCGAATAATGGTAAAATGCAACGTCCAGACATTGGCAAGTCTTTGGCTCATCCCTAGTGAGGTTCTCTCGCCCTTACATGTAAAAACATTTCATTTACGTCCGGACTCCGTTTTGAATTATTGTCGAAGAAGGTTACAGTATTTTACCTTGAAACGTCCGTCAATAGAGTTAAGGTCGCCATTTTATAGACGACCTCCAGCCTCTGCACTCTACAGCTGATAGTATTCAGACAAATAGCTCAGCCAATCAGCTTGAGTATTTGCATCCGTAGTCAATTGTACTTAACAACACCGAGGATTAAATTTTAATAATAGCAAGATATCTGAGTAAATAGTGAATTCATTTTTGTATCTTTACTTAGATCTTTCATGCTTTTTTCAAGACCGATTCCAGACTTGTTTCAATATTCTTCGAAAGCCATCTGCTTAGTCTTATTCATGTAGCTATGAGCAGCGCGCCACCCTATTCACGTAATTCACTGCTTCTGAAGGCACGTCAAAATACATTAGTCATTCTGGGTCACGCAGTGTCTTGATAATAAATTTAAAGTGGCTGTAAACCCCGTTGACAGAATGTTTTTAAAGTGCACCTAACCCCAAAAAATTTTTTTCGCTAAAACGAATCTCCTTGTTATTTGAAATAGTTCTGCGAAAAAAGTTTTGGATTCCGTTAAATCCTCGATTTTCTGTGCCCCGA